GGTGGTGGGCAGCCCCCTGCCTGCATGGCAGCCAGCTGCTGCTCCAGCTCGCGCACCACCAGTCGCAGGTAGTCGAAGCTGGCCCGAGACAGGGCCTTCACCCAGCCCTCCATGGCCGCCTGGCTCTCGGCAGCCAGCACGTAGGTGCGGGCCCGGGCCCCCGCGAAGCGCACGGCGAAGGCAAATTCCTCGGCGGCCTCCACGAGCTCCACGGTGCAGCCCTCCAGGATGATGACACCCACGGGCTCACGGCTGCCCGGGTCCTCGAAGTAGAAGAGCATGTTGCCACGCAGCACGAACCAGCGCCGGTGGTAGGCGGCGTGCCGCCCACCCTTCTTGTACAGGAAGCCCGCGTTGTCCACCGGGGCGTCGCAGGTGGCGTAGAAGGCCAGGCTGCGCTCGTTCAGCTTCATGGCGGCGAGGACGGGCCTGCAGGGAGCTCAGGGCCTGTCCCACACCAGGTCAGCTGTCACTCACGTGGTCACCTCCACCAGATCACCCGGCGCCTCACCCTGACCTCCCAGCCACCCTCGGGCATCAGCGCCCCTGTTTCACAGATAAGGAAACTGAGGCTCAAAGAGCAGAAGAGACCTGCCCAGGCTCACACAGTCCTCAGGAGCAGAGCCAAGACTCACACCCGGCTTCGACTCAAACCCTGGCCCCAGAGCCAGACTCACAACAACCCTCCTGCATCCTACCGAAAATAATGGGGACTCCTACTGCATGCCAGGCATTTTATGTCCCTTAACTCATCTTGCAACAAACCTTAGTTGGCAAGGACCAGCCTGACCCCCATTTGACAGATGGGGAAACAAAGCAGAGAGTTAGTCACGCGCCCAAAGCCAGGAAGTAAGTTGGGCAGAGCTGAAATTCAAACCCAGGCCTCATTTCAGGCCCTGCTGTTTCCATCACCCCTGGGGCTCAGCTGGGCTGGGCTGACCTTCTGCAGTCCTTTCCGGGTCCCGGCTCTGATTCCCTAACTCAGCTTTGATTTGCCTATCTGGGAAATGACAGGAGCAGAACCTATTTCAGAGGGGTGCACCGCCTCAGCACTCATCAAGCATTTATTAAGCACCCACTGTGTGGGGTCAGGAAAGGCTGTACTGAGAAGGTGAGATTTGAGTAGAGACCTGAAGGAGGTGAGGGAGGGAGCCCCTGGGACAGTGCCAGGCAGAGTAGACAGCAAAGGCAAAGGCCCTAAAGTGGGAACTTGCTAGCGAGCTTGAGGAACAGCCAGGAGGCCACTGAGGCTGGAGCAGGAGGAGGAAGGGGAGAGGCGGTGGGTGCAGTCAGACAGGCAGAAAAGATTGTGGTGAAACAACCCAAAAGAAGGGCCAGAGCTTGGCCCACAGTTACGGGGAGAGGGTGGGCAGACAGCATCGTGTACTCAAAATGGAAAAATCTAACTATGCACTTGGCTCAATGATTTTATCACCTTCCCCAAGGAGCACATGATGGGGCGACATTGGCTGGGTAGGACTTACTGGGAGGTGATAGACGCGTGGGCCCCTAATGTGACCACACCTGCCTCGGGTCTTCCCGGCCGCTGTGAGGACCCACCTTGTGCTCCTTGCTTCACAGGCTTACTCTATATAGGACAGTAGCTACATTTTTCAAAAGACATGTGTGAAGTCCCTGGAATGTAGTCGGTACTCTATTAATGTTTATTCCTCAGCATGGGTGGTGCCTTACTCAGGGCCCAGAGGAGTAAGTATGGGTGGTAGCTTTCCTGAGAGCAGCTTAACCTCACCGGTGGGGGGGGGGCGGGGATTGCTCTCAACTGAATCCACCTCATCTCACCTGCCTAGGTAGTCAAGGATGGCTTCCTGGAAGAGGCACCACAAGCTGTGATTTTGTAGCTGAGGTCAGACTGTCCTGACTTGGCAGCCAGGCCAAGGTTAGAGGCCCGGAATGCTCAGAGTGTTTCATCCCTGCTCTGCCTCCCTGTACTGTGTGACTTCAGACACGGGCTGCCCTTCTCTGAGCCTCAGTTTCTTTCTTTGCAAAATTAGACTCATGCATTTTCCCCCACAGCCCAACAACTCCACATGGACCCCAGACCCATTTCTCACAGGAACCACCCACCGTATTTGTCCTATTTCCCTCCTACCTCTCAGGCCACCGCTCGGCTCCCTGCCTTCTGCCCAGTCTGCTTTCAGCTTGCTCTTCTCTGGGTTCAAATGTCAGCTCTGTAGTGTCCAGGCTGTGTGACCTCAGGCAAGCTTTAAGCCTCTCTGGGCCTCTATTTCCACATCTGTAAAACAGGATCATAAAAGCACCTAAGTCAGGGTTGTGGTAACAGTGACAGAGTGATTACACAGAAGGTGCTGAGCATGGTACCGGGCATGCAGTACATGCTCGGCAGTGGTCGCTACTGATGTTCTTCTCGACTTCCCCAAATGCTCCCCGCAGCGCTCTGTCTCAGCAAATGGCCTTCGGCTTCTCCCCTCACCCCCACTCTGACCACTCATCAAGTGATCTCCCTCCTACCTCTTCCAAATCACTGGCCTAATCCCTACCCACTGCCACCTCCCCATTCTAGGCCCCCATCATCGCTCCCTGGACGGCTCCAGTAACCTCTTCATTGGCCTCCCTGCCTCCATGTTCTTCAGGGTAAGAGCCAAATTCCTTCCTAGGCCCCTCCCCTGGCCCCACTGAAATCCATTCCCCACAGAAAGATCCTGTTTAAAACTAAATCCAGCCTGGCTCAGTGGTTGAGCATTGACCTAGGATCTAGGAGATCGGGGTTCGATTCCCAGCCAGGTCCCATGCCACGGTTGCGGGCTCGATCCCCAGCAGGGGACGTGCAGGAGGCAGCCCATCAATGATTCTCTCATCATTGATGTTTCTCTCTCTCTCCCTCTCCCATCCTCTCTCTGAAATCAATAAAGATATTTTTAAAAATAATTTAAAAATAAACCTAAATCCAACCACACCCTTCCACCACTCCAAACCCTCCCATGACTCCCTACTTCTCTCAGATAAAATTCAGTCCTCACCAAGGCCTTCAAGTTCCCTTCCCCTACCCCTTTCTCCCTTAGCTTCAGCCACCGTGGACTCCCTGCTGTTCCTCAAACACATAAGGCCTATTCCCAGCTTAGGGCCTTTGCCCTGGCTGTTCCCTCTGCCTGGAATGCCCTTCCCAGATCTTCACATGGCCAACTCACCCTCCAGTTTCATCTTGACCATCACCTCCTCAGGGAAGCAGTCCCTGACCACCCCATACAAGAGACTTCCTCAGTCGCCCTCCTGTAGCCCAGCCTGAAATCACCTGTGTCATTTCTGCCTGCTCTCGGAGGGCAAGGTATTTTTGTCTGGATTCTAGTGCCTGCATGTAGTGGGTACTCAAATACCTGCAGGATGAGTCAAACCTTAAACCTCTCAACAGCGCCGTGAGAAGGTCTGTTCTTTATCCACATTAACAGACGTGGAAACTGAGACAAAGAGAGGTTAATGACTTGCCCAAAGGTACAATGCTGTGCCCAGAATCCCACGCTCTAGGCAACTGGCTCCAAAAGGGACTTATCCTGGGGTCTCCCCACCCCATTAAGGCGAAAGAAAGAGCAAGTTCCCTCACACTCAGCAGCCCTCCTCCTCCCACTGCCAGCCGGGCCCAAGGTCACCAGTGACACAGGAACCTGCTCTGCCCATGGTCCCTGCTTCCTCCAGCCCCTGGGGGGGGGG